TGGCAATTATGCTGGCATTCTGTTTGGCATATTATGCTTTTCTATCTGTCTGTCATACTTTCTTGCATCCTATCTGGGATATACTCTGGCACTCTATCTGGCATTTGTCTGGCACATATTTTGGTATTCTATCTGGCACTTGCATTTCTATTTGGCACGTATTCTGGCATTCAGTCTGGCGCATATTCTGGTATTCTATTTGGCAATTTTCTGACATTCTTTCTGGCATTCTGGCAAAGGTTTTGGCCTTCTATCTGGCATAGACTCGCGCATTCTCTGTGGCGCATATATCTTCTGACACTCTTTTGACATCTATTCTATTCTGACATTCTTTCTGGCATAAAGTCTGGCATTCTATCGGGTATACATTCTGGCATTCTATCGGGCACAAATTTTAGGGCACTCTACGTGGCATACCTGCTGGCATTCTTTCTATCTTGTTCATGCCCAGTGCTGCCGCTGCGATCTAGCGCTCGCGGTTCAGGCCCGCTGGTGCCCACAGCGATCTAGTGCTCGCGGTTGAGGTCGCTCGCAGTGAGCTGGCGCTTGTGGTTGAGGTCCGGTGGTGCCCACTGGTGGTGCCCGCCGCGATCTGATATTTGTGGAGGGGGAGGAGGTATGGAGAGGAGGAGGAGGACGAGGAGGAGGAGGAGGAGGAGCAACATTTTCACATTTCGTCTCTCTCCCAGTGGGGTCGGCGTTTGCAGGGTGGCCTTTTGGAGGTCCTGTATGTCGCTGCTGCGCGCTCCGCTTTGTGGGTTTCCGTCAGACTTTGATCCAAACAAGGTATTGACAGGTTGAGCCTTTGGTTTGATTGGACTTGGAGTTGGTGGAGGTTTGGCAAGCCAGGGCTTGTGGCTCCTCCCATTGTTGCACAATACCGGCGTAGATAGAGGTGATTTTGTGCTTATGACGTACCAGATTGGGTGGGACCACCTTTTTCATGATCTACCATTCTCTTTCGTGGCTTGTCCGGCAGGCTGGGTCGCGTGAACCATGATTTGGGGAAGGCCTGTCCTATGGAAAACCAGGTTTGTTTCGCATGCCAAGTCAATGCCTATTGGATTTTGGAAGCTATCAACTTGAGCTTGGCAAATGTAAACTCCAATACAGACGTGTTTTCTGGACATAATGGGATCGATTTGCTCCACTGAAAGGGGGGGATGCAGTTGCACAATGGGGGGTGCGCGGTGATGCCATGGGCGGTGCATTTGCAGGCCTTGGGGTCAATGATCACCGAGCTGAAGCATCTGAGAGCTGGGAACCCTAGTGAAGCTTTAGTGCTTGGAAATTTCCAGGGGTTGAGGAAACAATTGGGTAGATGACCACTGACCCAAGAAACAGTTGGTCATTTATCTTCCAGGAGTTGCTTGGCTGGAGGTAGATGAGCGTCATCTCACCAATGTGACCTTGGTGTGCGACCTTTGAAACTCGAAAAGGGAACTCCCAACGAATGGACGTATACACACGTTACATAGTTTTGAAGTAGCCACTATGAGGGAAGTAGAATGTGATGAATCAGACGAATACGACGCATCGTTTCTTTTTTTGTGACTGTTCGTAAGACATACATATACAATTACATAATATATATATATGTATGTATGTATGTATACACATAGAGGGACCGGAATCGAATCCGGCTGTTACAACATCAGATCGAATCTGGCAGCTGGAACCCAACACGGAACGATCGCCGAACGGCGGGGTTCGGTCCCTGAGGTGCTGGACTTGCACTGGAACAGCTTTCACGGCCTGGGCGCGTGCCAGTCGAAGCGGTTAAAAACATTGACGTTGAGAACGTCGAGAGAACTGTCCAAGCGCCATTCGACATTTTCGGTGGGCTGGGTGGTTCCAAGGATCTGACGAACAACTTTTTGTTTTGATGAATCTCCTACTTCTCGTCATGTTTGGGAGTTTCTGATTCTATACTAAAGTGAGCCTTGTCCTGAAGTTACTGGAGCATTTCAGAGTTGAGGTACAAGCTGATTGAGGGCATCGGTGAGAACCGCTTGTCTGGCGGAGCCACGTCTTTGGTCTCAGTTTGGAAGGGGAACCTTCACCTTGCCATGCAAAACAGCAATTTTTCCAACACCAGCCCTTGTGAGCCACGCTGAAAGAACTGTCCTCACCTGAATCGAGCAGACATTTCAGATGATTGCCCCATGACCGAATCGAGGCTATCCAGAGTTGACTTGAGCTGGAATCGCATGGGCATGGCTTGCGCCAAGAGCCACAACCCTTCGAAGGCATTTTCTCGTGAACGGCAGTGGAGATGTTGGGCTTCAGAAAATAGCCTCTTGCGCTTGGACATGGCTAGTGAAGATGTAGGTGTACTGAAGTAGGAAGACCCCCCGAACCCCCCGCGGAAAAGCAACAAATTGGACGAACACCCATTGTTTTGAGGGTCGTCCTGTTTTCATACATACCCGACCATATTTTCAGGGACGGAGGAGGTTCTCTCACACCAAGCTCTAGTGCCGCTCGCTGGTCCGAAGTCCCATCCCACCTGTGCAGATGCTCGCGGAAGTGCTCGTGAGCAATGACAAGCTCTTCCATTTAGACATCTCGTACAACGCGATTGGAACAGAGGACACATTGGTAGGTTGACGTAGCTTGGTTGACGTAGCGGCGACCGGGAAATGCAAAAGCGACCATGGAAATGCGGATTTGAGTTCGTCTTGCGAGGGACCGGCTCCAAAATGGAATGGGCTTGCAGGTCTCTCTACCTGTACCAAGCCCTCTTTTCACGTTGTGTCGCCAGGATTGCATGCTGATTGCCAATGGTTTGCGCTACAACAACACACTCTTTGGTTTCCATGTGGCAGGAAATGAGGCCAGAGAACATGGAGAATGGATTCAAGAGACCTGGAGCAGACTTCGATCTTTTGAACGATTTGTTTACTTCCAGTCTTTCAGCAGCATGGATGCCGTTGGACATAAGGTCTCTTTAGCATAATATATAGAATTTGAATGTCAATGGATGCGCATCTGTATTTTCATGTCGCAAGCATGGAAGAAGTGTGTGTCAAAATGTCAAACATGTTGCTGAAATTCTTTTATCCCTTCAGGCATTTGTGGATGAACTCGGATTCCTCATGCCACTCTCCGTTCCTCGGAGAAGTTTTGTCTGTACTTTTGATGTACTCTTGGTGCAGGCAGACAGAAGAATCGCATCAGTCGCATCCAAGTTGTGCATCAGGTTGGCAACAGGGATCCGTGTTGCGCCAAGGATCCTTGTCGATTGCGCCTGGCCGGCATCGATATGAAGGATGACCAGGAGGCCACAGGCCAAGACGTGAAGAGCGCCTGGTCTGCCAGCGAGGCGCTGGAAACCGCCCTGTGCGCGACCCACCCTGATGCGCCTAGACTCGCGCCCCGTCGTGCGACTGCACCGCGAGGCTGCCTCGCAAGTCTTTGGGAGAGAGGTTCAACATCCGAGCTTCCCCGTTGCAGAGGGTGGAGGCGCCCTGGTGTCTTGTTGTGAGCGTGGGCATGAGCCGTTTTCGTGAATGGTGGTGGGTATGGTGTTGATTCAGCCTTTTGACTGAGGATATTCCTGTATAATCTGTACTGTAGAAGTCAAAGGTGGTTTTTGCAGCTCAACGTTTCACACTAGCAGGCACCACAACTGGGATACCAGATAAAACCGCGAGTAGGACAGGTATTGGTTCACAAAGCAAAACAACCCTTAGCCAGCCTCATGAACCCTTCAAAGTTTTTCCTTGCAATCTTCTAGAGAGTGATTTGCTTGGACAGGCAAGACCATCCGCTGGGATGGTAGCTGGCTTAGTGTGCAGGATTGAAAGTGATGCTGCGAGAAACTCTTTAATTTTTTTCGTACCTGCCCGATCATGATTTGTCTGTATCTAAAGTAGATGTCCCAACATCATTGCACACCAAGTTGGGCGGTTGCCTTTTTCATGCGTCCCCATGCGCACCCATGTGGTAGCCGAAACAAACCAAACGAGATGTTCTTTGATCGGCCTCGACGCATCAGCTTATTCTGTTTGGCATCGGACACCCGTGACGGCTATGACGCCGGCTCAGCCAACCCAGGCAAAAGACGGGTGTCCAAGCCCAAGGTGAAGCCCACCAAGTGTCCACCAAGGAGAGCCGGAAGGGACGGGGCGGGGTGGTCGGACCAACAGGACAAGAATTGCTGCTTACGGAGAGGTCGTGTAGGTTGCGTAAAAAAAAGGCTTGACGTAGATGTGACGACATTTGCTTGTTTGCCAGGTAAAGAAAGGGAGGCGTTCACTCATTGCATTGCTCTAGTTTGAAACTGCCCCGGGTAGCTTTTAGCGGGGTGGAAGATACAATGACCGGACGACATGACCAGTTTGTCCTGCTGGCCTTGTGTCACTTACCTTACATATATACATACCTTTGTTGCATCATCTAATAGAAGACTCCAAACATTGCAACGTTGCCACATAAGCCCTGTCAAACGTGGGTCTTTGTTCGTTAAAAGCCCCTGCTCGTTGATAATCTGCAGATTGACACCTGCTTCTAAGGAGGACATATCCTCTGCAAAAGCAGAAAAGCCTGTCCGGCCGCCCATGGAGGGCCCTTGGAGAGATGATTTGACGTCAAGGAAGCTTTGTTAAAGCCTCTCAAGTCAGGGGGTGGTCAGGATTTTATATCGTTACGTGATGTGCCCCGAGATGTTCTAGGGGGAACTCGGCAAACAAGCGCGTTCTGCGGGCCTTCAATCGTGCACCTTTTGACACGGAACTATGTGTCATTCTCATTCTCAGGCTTTCATGGACAATCGGAGTACAGTATATCAACTGTTTTTGTGAACCAGGTCAGTTCTTCGGTTCAACCTGTGGGGTATGTATATATATATATATATGTGATACATACACATAGCATACACATAACGAAGAGATTGGAACCACGCATGCTCAGTCTGAAACGGCGCGAAGTGTTCGCAGGTATGATGCGGCTCCAAGACCTGCTGTCCCTTGGGAAGACTGGCAGGAGTGAAGGGATCCTGTAAGGTCTGTGGTCTTGGCTGAATTCTTTCCGAAACCTTTATCCAACTTTCCTGGTCAGACATGTAGACTGAAGCTGGTGGTGCAACCAGATCAGATCTCCTTTCCTCAGCTGTGCAACGGGCCGTTCAACCAGCCATTCGATCTGTACAAGTGATGAGCCCTTTGCGCTGTCCTCATGGGGCTGGGCTTTAACCTCTGGGCGTCAAAGACTTCAAAACTCTCCGCATGGGCGCTGGCGCTGGAGCTTTATCCACGATTGATGCGGAAGCCATGGGTCATCCTGAACGATGCGCGGAATGCATTTGAAGAGGCTTAGGGGAAAGACATTTTGGAACATGAAGTAGTCTAAGATCGTCTAAGTCTGTTTGAACGGGTGCTGTGTGTTTGGACGTGAAGATATAGAGTTGTCCAGCTTTCGTACTGCACACGTGCAAAAAACCTACTGTATTGATTCAAACATGGGGTGGTTCAAGCAGATGTCCCGAGGCCTTGGGTCTTCACGCAGATGATTTGCTTTTGGTGCTCTCACAAGACCTTGAAACATCGACGTCGTCAAGGGCCAGTGTGGGGTTGGCACACGTCAGTGGCAATGTCTACTTGGCACCCACATTGGAGGATGTATGGCTTTCGTCTGAGCAGGTTCTGATTGCAAACCTCTTCTCTCATGGAGAGGTAGGTCTGGATGCTGTGGCTTCCCGATCCTTGCCTGATGCAAAGTCACTTTCCCTGCTGGAAAGCCTGGCAACCTTTCGGAGCCTTCGGTGGCTCTCTTCACAGGAGGTCAGCTTGGATCACTTGGAGCTCCCCGATTCTCCAACGCGAGAGGCTCCAGTGATCAAAGCTGTTCGCCGAAGTCTCTTAAGAAAGCATCCTCTCCTGTATGAAGTTCTGGAACTTTCTGCACCATCCGCAAAAACCAGGGGCACGTGTCTTCAGCACTCCAACTTCAAGCATCATGACATCCAAGGAGAAACCATCGAAGAGTGTCAGATCTCAGCGGCCCAAATCGCGGCCCTGCGCGCCTATGGCGCCCAAGCCGCACAAACAGCCGGCTCGGAAGGGCTTACAGGGTGTGGGTGTGCCATACTGACTGAAGCAGGGCTTCTCTTTTCGGGTTCGGAGATTTCCACCGCTGCTGCGGTGATTTCGCCTTTGCAATGTGCCCTGGTCTCGCTGGGTGCCAATGGATTTGCAGCCTCTTCAGTGGTCAGCGTGGCTTGGTGCGGCACTGGCCATGAACGCCTAGCCCTGCAAGAGTATGACGAAGCCTTGCTGTCCGCATTGATTCCTGGTACGCCCATGCGAACAGTGGAATTGGAGTAGTCTTCAGAGAGGTTCGAAGCATCTTGAGGGTCCCACAATGTCCAGTCTCAGTGGCAGGTCAGCCTCAACTAGGGCTGGCACGGGCTGAAAGAATTGTATGCGCCCAACGTCAAAGTACGCAGAAAGATGGAGTCCTCACGTGCACATCGAAACAAGCAGCCCAGCGAAAGGGACCACGGAGACCGTTCAAAGATGACGAGACGGAGCCCTGACTTGGGGAAAACAGAGAGATGAGCGAGGTCGCCTGGATCAAAAAGGCGCGTTGGACATTGAGCCACTTTTTGCTGAACAGCGTCTGTTCTTTGAAGCTTTGTGAAGCAATCAGTTGGGTTCCAGAATATCCTCGAGCCTCAGGAGAGCGAATACAGCATGCCATTGGCCCAGGCCTTCCAAAGGTGCGGTGTAAACAGAACACGTTCCAAAGCTGAAAAGCTGCACTTGAAGTCACTTGAAGCATGTTTGAGGCCATATCTATATCTATCTATTATCATACTATTATCTATATGTATGAGAGTGGCTAATTATATACAGGTTTGGCGTGAAGACAGACCGGCCGAAGCATTTCCAAACGGCCACAGCTGGGAAGGAGCAATCTGGAAGAGGTGACATGCAGAGCAGAGAGGTGTTGGATCTGCGACAGGCACAGAGTCTAGCAGAGTCCGACACAGTCAGGGCTTAAAGGAAGGCGAAAACCTGGACCTTGCCAGTGGACCAGATTATCTAGGAGCAAGGATGCTACTAGGGGCTCCTGGCATCGCTACTAGGAGCAAGGACGCTACTAGGTGCTCCTAGCCTTACTAGGAACAAGAAGACAAGAAGCTACTGGGGGCTCCTGGACCTTGCCAGTCGACCAGATTTATGTATATATCTCCGCAAGGCACGTGCCCAGTCGTCGGAAGGTACCGCCCGGTCAAGATCATGTGGACTCCAGCCATCTCGAGCCAGCTGAACGAAGATGAGGCCGACGGGATCACGGACGGGATCGGGTGGTCCGCTGCCCTGCGCGAGCGGAAGCGGGATCAGGTGGGCTTCGTTCATGCCTATGTGAGTTGGAAGCTTGGAAAGGATGTGACAAGGAGACTGGACTCTGGCAGCAGTCTTGGAACGGCATGGACAGTCACTTGAAAGTGCCACCATAGATCACGCAATCTGCAGAATTATGATTCAATTCAATACTTCTAACTTGTCCCATGTTCAGCTCGTGAATATCCCCGAATAAATCAGGTCGTGCAGGGTCTTGCCCATCACCAGTACAGTACAGTACAATCAGAAGCCACTCCAGCTTTCGGCACTTGGCAGCTTGAGGCAGTGATGATTTTCTTCGACCCACGTGCCTAAAGAGGATCAAGTCCGAGAAGCAGGTAGCTGGGAAGAAGGGGATGGAATTCGATGTTGATGGACATCACTAGTTTCCTGAGTTTGAGCAGTACATGTTAGATGCTCTTCTTCCTCCATCAGACATGGGTCGGTTTCCTCCCGGACTCGACCCCGTCTCCCTCGCGTTGGAGTGAAAAAGGATACCAGTAGGGTCGACAAGCCGTCAGCAGGTTCGATGCACAGACTCCTGTGAGGCAGCACGATTTGTGGGTTACCGAATGGTACCGAAGTTGAAAGAGGCCGCCTGCAGGGTTTTCGTGTGGGTCAACTGCATGGTTGTTCGTTTTAAGGTTGGATCAGATCGTTGAGGTGAAGCAGTTCTGAAGTAGTTTGCCGTTTGTGACGTGTTGCGCAGTATTTTTATACTTTTCCGATCAGGGTTGACATTGGCACAGATATCATAGACACAGGGAATCACAGAACATCGTCGAACCGCCTTGGGGCTGCAGCCTGAAGCGCCCATTGACCACAGGAATTCTTTGAGAAAGCAGTCTTTCAGCTGTGGTGAGCATCAGGCTTTGCTGATCATCTTCCGTGCGAACGGCGTCATTGAAGCGGCCAATGATGCTTAGCTACAGGTTCTGCCTTTCCAAGGCACCGCAGGCTTCTTCGAGAGACCATTGTAGCTTTGTGAGTTGCAGCCCTTTGTTGGAGCCCTGCGCTCAAAATGTCCCAAATCTAGGTGCCTTACTACTAGCAGCAAGGTGCCTTACTACTAGTTACTATATAGTAGTAATGCCTTTAGAACTGTAGGAGGTTGATTTGGGCGTGCTGGGCCGCTCCAAGGACATGCCAATCCGCTTCCTGCCATGCCCAGCTGTGGCCTCAGATATGGGCTAAGCGCAGCATCATTGCGTTTCCGTTGTTTGATCAGTGTGTTGGTTGTGTTTGAAATGAGGAGGAAATGAAGGTCAAGCAGCTGACTCTCTTTGGACTCTTGAGGCAAAGGTTGCTCCATTGAGCGAAGACGATCTCACGGTCATCAAAAAGAACGAAGGCACCGAGGGTTTCTTGGGCACACATTCCGATCCCTTTTTGGGAGAGGAACAGTTTGCTCTCTTTTCTGATCCAAAGCAAGCGTATGAACTGATGCGTCAGTAGGCCAATGCAGAAATGCAGGAATGCAATTCGCCATGAAAGGCGCAGAAGCGCTCGCCAATGTCCAGCTGCCATCTCTGGACTCCGGGGTTGTAAAGCATGGAGAAGGTTCCTGCAGGAAGTGAAACTGAACCAACCGAAAGCTGCTATGGGTTGTTAAGCTGCAAATGCGAAAGTCCGATTCTGGTACAGTTGGTTAGAAGACGTTTCATCCATTCCATCCATACGTAGGGACCATGTCATGTCTGTGAGCCCCAAGCGACAAGCGCCGTCTGATTGTTTTTTTTGCAGGACAAAAGCAATGCGGAGACACGCTGGGCCAACGAACTGGTGCTGGAGGAAGAGAAGGGCTTGGAGATTTGATCCCCCCGCAGAGGTGGGTTTTTACTTGACTCCAAAAAGAATGGATGCGGCCATTCTAAAATCAAAAAGTTTAGGACACTGCAGAAAGCATGGCACAATTTGAGAGCTATGGCTCACCGCGTGTGTCGGCCGTTTCCTTATTCATCATCATTCGTGAGCGAACGTACTCTTTGACGGATGCTTTTTACGGAGCAATTGGTGAAGCGAACGGGTACCTGTCCTCAGCTGGAGGACACCCCAATGCCTGTCATAGTCACAGAGGACCCGGGACCGGGACTCGTCTCGGATCTGCTCATCTGCTCATAGGCTGCCCTAAGCGGCGCTGCAGCGCAGTATGCTTGAACATGATCAAGCTTGGAAGAAGCTATCCACTTCCATGTGTGTTTGCAGAGGTTTTCACCCTCTCAGTCAATTTGCTGGACTTAACTCGTCGAAAGATTGGGCTCTGTAGTCTCACACTGCCTTCATCACTGGGCCACCAATGAGTTTTTCTTCGTTTTCGTTGTTTGGACACCGTTCGAAGTTTCAGCTGCCCACCGGTTTTTTCAGCCGTGCTCCGGTTGCCCCCGTGGGTCTGTCCGGGCCTGACCAGGATGCTGTTGCCGAAGGGAAGCTTGAAGTCTATCCACGACGGGTAGATAAAGTGGCCCAGGCTCATGCGTGGCTTGTGCGTTTGTGTTCTTACTCTTGATCAGACCTCACAAGCCCGGAGGAAGTTTTCCAGACGCATTTGCTCATTTGTCTTCCGGCGAATGCGTAGCACAACGAATGAGCGTCCGCATCTTTCGAGGTGGTGGAATATGAGTGGGACAAATCGCAGTCCGTCTTTGCTTCTTGGCGGGTAGCATCTGAAGCGGGGAGCCCAGGAAGCCCAGGCCAAGGTCGCCAGGCATGAGGCTGTTGATCTGTTACCCTGGAAAGAATATCATATTATCAAGCTGCTCTTCTAAGCTATATGAAAGATGCATCCCGAGTCCATTTTCGAGAAGATGCTCGCGATGGACTTGTGACCTGGCGCCATAGATCTGTTGTCTTGACAGATGCTGTGTTAGTGTCAACACCAACGAAGCTTCGCAAACGATGTTTGGAAATGGGCTAGAATCATGCAGAAGCCTGGCATCAGCAATCTTTTCTCGTAGCTAGGCTGTAACTTGGATTTGAGATCGTCCAGCATCGCGCTGCCCAGGAAATTTTGCCGAATTCAGAAGTTTGCGCCTGATCAGGACGAAAGACAGTTGAAGAAGCCAGGAGCCCTGGGCAGAGCCTACTGAGACTGCAGAAGCCTCACAGAGATCCAGCATCGCTCTCATCAGTCAATCAGTCAACGGCCTTTTTGGCCTTTGAGCGCTGGCCATCTGCTAGAGGGCTTACAGTGACTTGAAAACACACATATGTTCAACTGACTTTAACCTATTTGTCTTCACCCACAGGTTGTGCCTTTGCATCAGGCTGATGCTGCCGATCTATCCCAAGCTGGTATCGATCTATCGCAGAGATCTCAATCACAACTGGGACATGCCACCCTGGCTGGGTGTGGCTCAAAATCGACAGAGACTTCAACATCCTGAACGATGTGAAGCATTGTAAACCCTTGGGAATCCGGTGGAAGAGTGGAGTATCCCCTTCCGAAAGCGCGCAGAGGATGTGGCTGAGAGGGATTCTTTTTGGGGTCGACTTGAGTGTGTCATGGGAGATCTCGGGATTTGTTTTGGACAGTTGAAGCCACGCCAGTCCAAACAAAATGGATTGATCTATCTTCGCATCCATATTTGGTCAATCTTTACAGAAGTCACTCCAAGTTGCTGTTCCCAACGTTACTAGACCTGACCCAGGCAAGATGTCCTGCTGGTCTGACAAGCATCAGGTCTTTGGGGTCATCCTGGCACGTCGGGCGTTTCACTGCAGGAGTTTAAACCTCTGCTTCATGGAACTTGGCACCTGCGTTTTGTGTTTCACGCGCCATAAAGAGACAGGAAAACCAGTGAGTAGAAATTACAACGGGGGACCTCACCAATGGTCTGAAGAATCATTCTGATGCCAGGTCAGCTTGCACAATGTGCAGTCTCTCCTACAACGCGGTCATGTCTTTGATCGTCATATGCAGGCTTTACAGCCATGCTTGGTCGTGTACGGTTCAGTTTGTCTATTTTTGTAGCACCGAGAGGCAGAGAATGTCCAAGAACATCCAAGTCTTTTGTGGATTTGTGAACCCAACTGGCCCAGCCCACAAGATGGTGGCTAAGCTGCTTAAGGCAGACCATCTTCCCAGCATGGCCTATGCTTCTCATGTCATCGAACGGCGCTTTGCAGAGGACACTTGGGTGGATCAACATGATCGTCCGGGGGTACTCAGCCAATTAGCTTGTCTCATCGGGTGCCCTGACAGCAATTTTTGTTGAAAGTAGATCCATTC